TATTGTAATTATATATATAATTATATAATATAACTTAATTAATTGATATATATATATATATATATATTAAATACTAATAATAATTAAATATAATATATTTTTAAAATTGATTTGATGTTTATGAATTTCAAACTCATTTCAATTTCCAATACATTCAACACCCCCCCTATAAGGGGTGCCATTAGCACCCCCCATAGATATATATCAATGCGTTGGATAGTGAAATGCCATATACATATATAATTACAGTCTTATATAATATATATATATATATATATATCTCCAAGTTTCCAAACTAGTACTAGATATGATCATGAGCCCTGAAAAGTTCAACACGTAATCACCGACCACCTTCATTGATCCAATCACAAGAAGCGGGCTTCAGCATTACAGTTGATCTCCATCTCCTGCTGCTCTGAACGGCGTCTGCAACTGAAGTTCTTAGCCTTCATCTTCATCGTTCAAGACGTGTGTGAGTATAATATATATATATATATACAGTGTACGACTCTGCATCTTGATTTGAGCTCATGTTCAACCAACAGACAAAAGAGAACAATGGTTTCACTTCTCATAACACTATTAGCTATTCTAGTGTTCTTCCTCTTCGTTCTTCACACATTTAGATGCTTTTTAACGAAGACCACCGTCCCTCTACCACCGGGACCTCCCGGACTTCCTATAATTGGAAACCTGCATCAGCTTGACACCTCTCATCTCCCAGACCACCTATGGCGTCTCTCAAAACGTTATGGACCCTTGATGTCCCTGCGCCTTGGTTGCATCCGAACCCTCGTTGTTTCTTCTGCTGAAATGGCCAAAGAGATCTTGAAAACTAATGATTTGGTCTTCTGCACGAGGCCTGTGTTAACAGGCCAACAAAAGTTTTCTTACAACAACAAAGACATAGCTTTCTCACCATATAATGAGCACTGGAGACAGATGAAAAAGATTTGCACCCTTCATCTCTTTTCATCCAAGCAAGTGAAGTCGTTTCGTTCGGTTCGCGAAGAAGAAGTCTTTGATATGATTGATACCATAAAATCTCGAGCTGCGACCAAACAAGTGGTGAATTTGAGTGAAACTATGATGATTCTCACGAATAACATTATTTCTAGGGTGGCCTTTGGAAAGAGACTGTACGCATTTGATGGTGAAGAGAAAGAAGTTAGGCGATTCCATCAGCTGCTCTTAGAGAGTCAAGCTATGTCTGTCACCTTTTATTACAGAGATCATTTTCCTTTGATGGGGTGGGCGCTGGATAAACTCAATGGAAGCATTGATCGATTGGAAAAGAATTTTAACGACCTGGATGACTTCTATCAAGAACTCATCGACGAGCATCTAAAAAGGAACAGGCCGAAAAAAATGGAAGACGATATGGTTGATATTTTGCTTCGGCTCAAGCAAGAGTCTGATTCCTCCATTGATCTCACTTTCGATCACATCAAAGCTGTGCTCAAGGTCGGTATATATTTCACTCACAATATTTGAGTTTATTAATCTTTAATCACTACTATTATGCCATAAATGTACATGTTTGAATTTTTCAGAATATACTGTTCGGTGGTACAGATACAAGTGCTGCAACAGTGGTCTGGGCAATGACTTTACTCATCAAGAACCATGAATCTTTGAAGAAAGTTCAACAAGAAGTGAGGAATGTTATCGGCAAAAAAGGCAAAGTACAAGAAGATGATCTTCAAAAGCTCTACTATCTAAAAGCAGTAATCAAAGAAACACTTAGATTATACCCAGTTGTACCCCTCTTAGTCCCACGAGAATCAAGAGATCGATGCGTTTTAGATGGATACGAGATTCCACAAGGAACTCTGGTGTACGTGAATGCATGGGCAATAGGGAGAGATCCTAAATGTTGGGAAAACCCTGAAGAGTTCAAGCCCGAGAGGTTTATGGGCAGTAGTATTGATTACAAAGGAACTGATTTCGAGTTGATCCCATTTGGGTCTGGTCGAAGAGTGTGCCCTGGGATGTCACTAGGAGTTGCGACCGTGGAGTTAACTCTCTCCAATCTCCTTTACGCTTTTGACTGGGAATTGCTTGATGGAGAGAAGGATATCAATACTCTGGCAGCCCTGGGGATCGTTTATCATAAGAAGAATGCTCTCCAGCTCGTGGCTAAAGTTTATGATTATGGCTGCAATAGTTGACGATGTGGTTGGTGACCGGAAGTCTGAGCCACACACCTCTCTGTAGCACCGAGTTAAGTAGCTTATAAATAGCAAGGTGGTATTTATTTGTAACCTTCAAGTAAATACAGAAAGTAGAATAATTATAGGGAAGGGTTTGTACAGCAAATATTTTCTTTGTTTAGTATCCTTTGTAATATATATCATAAGGAGAAATACACCATAAAATCTCATAAGCAAATATTTTCTTTGTTTAGCACTAACAGAATCCTTCTTCCTTATTCTAATCATCATATCCTTTCATGGCTGGTCTTGATCATGGTCAGAATTCTTCCAGCAACACATCTAATGTCTCTAACTCCATCTTGAATCGACGACAAGGATGACAGAGATCTTGAATAATGCCACGACTCTGACAATAACGACTGAAACACCTACCGCACCCATCAACACTTAAGTTGGACGGTTCCAACTATGCACTATGGTCACAGGTTGTTGAAATGTATATCTCCCCCAAGGATAAATTAGGATATATCAAGGTGACTCCCAACCACCATCAGCAGACCCTTCCTTTAGAAAATGAGCGGACCGACAATACTGTTGTTAAAGGTTGGTTAATTAACTTCATGGATTCTTCTTTAGTTTCATTTATTTTTAGGCCCTTTTGGTTAAAATGGTAATAGAATCCAGGTCTAAAGATAAAAAGAAAGATTGAAGAAGAACAAAAGTACTCTCACCACAAGTACCAGCCAAAAGTAGCCTCTGGCTGCCATAGGTGAATTGAATAGCAAGGTCATCATCACTAGTTGCTTTCAACATAATTTCAAGAACATCTTCTCTTCAACTCTTCTTTTTACCGTCAAGTCTTCCATCACGACCTTTATCTCTAAAAGCTATTGAGCTATCCTTATTGTCACTTGTCTCGAGAAGACTACCCGTCATACACTGCACACGAGCACAAGGTATAACAGGAAACAAATAAGCAAAGATTACTAAATAAGCAACTACTTATTTGTGTTGCTTCTGTAACATAATGATTCGACCTATGGAGTCCGAACTTAAAAGCATCGCCTATTAGCGGATGTGGCAAAAGATCATATTCATATACCCATCTTATAGTTTTGTCTTTCCTCAATTCAGGATCAAGGGATTTCAACATGCCTCCTCATGTTTAGCTGTTCAAGCTTACAGTGGAACATGTCATTTGAGTGAGAGATGAAGTTTGTAATTGGGTCTTATATATCATTTGGGAGAAATATTTATGTGAAAGCTTTCTCTTTAGTGTATTCTTATGCATAAAGGTAAGGTGAGGATCAGAATGAAGCTAGATGCATATCATACTGTAACTATTCTGTGAAAAATGTTTCTTCAAATATACACCCTCATCTGGCACCTTCTTCAACTGATTCTATTCTGGTTCATCGGGAAACATAACATTCGATTCCTATTGGGTGAGCATCTCCGAGTTTGATGTATCTTATTTTTAATATGCAAGCATAATTATATATCACTGCTAGAAAATCAAGCATCAACGATGGAAAAAATTCCTCGCAGATCAGCGATGGAAAAAATTCCTCGCAGATCAGCAAGAGAAATGCCAACAACTCAATCCCTCGCTGATCCCTCGTTGATTTGTGAGGGATTGAGTTTTTGGATAATCCCTCGCTGATCCCTATGATCTGCGAGGGATCAGCGAAGGAATCTGATTTTCGACATTATTTTATTTTATAACTACAAATTTAATTATTTATTAATTTTTAATTATTGATTATTAAATTTCCAATTATTTATTAGAATATTACAAAAATTAATTAATAAAACCGAATAAAACCCATTAAGGCCCATTAAACCGAATAAAGTCAAATAAAACTGAATAAAATTTATTAAGGCCCGATAAACTTAAAATAACCCTGTAAATGGATTAAGACCCAATAAAACCGAACAAAGCCCAGTTAAATGGGTTAAGGCCCAATAAAATCGAACATGAATACATACGATACCTACATATAAAAATATGTATATATAACACATAAAAAACAAGAAAAATAAGAAATTAGAACAATTCTCTCACTGATCCCTTGCTGATCCAATTTTCTTGGACTTTATTTGGTTTTATTGGGTTTTCATCCAATTTCTTGGGATTTATTTGGTTTTATTGGGCCTTAATGGATTTTATTAGGTTTATTGGGCCTTAAGAAACTTTATTCGGTTTTATTGGGTCTTAAGGGACTTTATTAGGTTTTATTGGGCCTGATTCGGTTTTATTGGGCCTTAAGAGACTTGATTCAGTTTTATTGGGCCTTAATGAGCTTGATTCAGTTTTATTGGACCTTAAGGGACTTGATTCGGTTTTATTGTCTCTTAATAGGTTTGATTCGGTTTTATTGGGCCTTAATGAGATTTATTCGGTTTCATAATTTTATAATGTAATAATTAATACTTAATTAAATTTATAATTATTAATTAAAAAATAATTAAATAATTATAAAAAAAAATACCTTTTTAACGACGGAATTTCCCTCGAAAATCCGTCGTTGATTTTCACATATAAAACCCCACCCATCTAGGTTAAGCCTCCATTTCAGCTGGTGTTTCCATTTTTCTGCACATCGAGAGATGGAGAGACAGCTTCCTCGAAACCCGACCACCACTGCCGTCTCCATTTCCGACCACCACCGCCGACAGTTACTTAGGTTTGTTTTGTTGTAATGAATTTTTCCTTATGTTTCTTAATCATATGGATCTGTTACTGTTTTTAGATTTTTTTTCCCATTTTTGTGATAATTTGAACATGGTGATTTGGTTCTTTAAGCGGGTTGCGGCCTTTGTTTCTCATTTTGTTGCATTTGATTAAAATAGGTTTAGTACAGAAAACATTAGTTCAAACCTAAAACTCTTCAAACATGTATCTTAAAAAAGAAGACAACCCATTCATGTCTGTTCTACTTGGTAAATTCATCAAGAAAAGCCAAAAATGAAAGGGTATTGATAGAGAAGTATAATAAAGTAAACTCAAGAAACAACACAAAGTAAAAATGTCTTCAAAACTGGAACCTAATCGAAATAGCCATCACGATGCCTGCAACTAACCTTTGATCGTTTCTAGCAGCGACCAACACCCCAAACTCTTATAACTCCATCTGTATATCCACTAAACAATGAACTTCGTATATTTCAACATCCCCATTACAATTTCAAGTATATTTCATAGTTTAATCTTAACTTCGTATTCTTTATCATCTCCACTTCCCCCCATAATTCATTATATGATTAGCCTGTTAGTATAGAAGTGAACTATTACCATCACTTAACTCACAATTATGTTTTACTAAATAAATAAAAATTTACGTTTAGCCCATTCTGTTTTCTTTTTTCTACCTTTGTCACTATTGGCAAGGTGATGGAAAGATAACTAATACATTTCTTTTGTTTTACAAAAGCAATAACTTGTTCCAAAAATAGGAAGGAATTTAAACGTATCAAAATATTAGTAAAAAATGTTAATTAGTTGGGTTGTCAATTGTTGGACAAACATTAGACTTGATAGGCTTAATTCATTTGGAGATATTCATTTTATAGCCGTTATGCCGGCAAATTTTTTAAAAACATAGGCTTCTCTACTCGTAGTCAAACCGTTACACTTATAGAGTTTTAAAGTCATCCAAAACTCCTCTAAACCTACGGTTTGACTTTCTAGTAGTCAAAACTTTACATGTAGGCTTCTCAACTCTTTCAAAGACCGCCATTTCATTCGCACCTACGGTTTGACTTTCAAGTAGTCAAACCTTTAAAGTAATCCAAAACTCCTCTAAACCTATAAGTTGATTCTGTCGACTAACTACTTCTTTCTTTGTTGGAGTTATTCAATATGTCGACAGATAGAGGATGGATGTATAGAAAGAATGGTGATCGAGGGGCTCTTAGCTGGACCTATGTCAGACACTTGGAAGGTTTTTTGGACATTGCCTATGCCAATGAAGATTATGTTGAAAGGGCAACTACACGTTTATAACAGCAAACATCAAAAAATCGAGACGGAAACAACAAACATCAAACAGCATAACCTAAACGTGTTTGAAGAAGAAGTATAGTAGTTACCGATTAGGAGAAGAGGGTCGTGAGCGATGGAGAAGACCCTGTCGATTGATGGAGGAGAAGAGGGCCGTGAGCGATGGAGAAGACTGTCAATCGATGGAGAAGAGACCTCCGATTAGGGTTCTGTGGATCGATGGAGAAGAAACCTTCGATTAGGTTTTGCATCGATGGATAAAAGGCGCGATAGGGTGTTTCGTAAGAGAGAGGCGCGATAAGATAAGGGTAGGGCAGTCTTTTGGCCGGCTTAATCTGGACAAGCTAGAATTTTCATCTGGGCAAATAAGCTCATTTCTGAGCGAATAAGCCTGAGGTAAACAACCTAGAAAGTCTGTGCAAATAAGCCAGTTTATCCACTAAGCTCGTTAAGCCTCAAGTAAACAGGCCCTAAAGCATACTCAATTATCTGATTCACAATTGTGCTTGATAAGATTCCTTTACTCCTCTATGTACTCCCACATTAAGCTTCAACCAGAAGATTTGAAGGTAAGAATACAACCAAAAGAAGCAAATGATACAAAAGTGTAAGTAGATTGGGACTTGTGACTTTTGTATATCTTTTAATAATGTATATTTAAGCTTTTCTATCTATTCATACAATGTTTTTTTCATGTGTGTAAAACAACTTAAATTGCTAACTTAAAACAACATAAATGCTCAATGTAGATGCAGAAATGTAAGTAGATCATTTGATAATCAAAGAACAAAGTACACACAAAAAGCAGAAAAGGTAACATGTGTGGCCACTATCATCTATTTTCTTGTGAAAACAACCACGAATTTGAAAGAGTTATAAGTTATTCCCAATACTTTTCACATCACACCAGCTAATTTTCAGCCAATTTTTTTGTATGTGATGCTATATTTTTGGATTGGGTTGGATTGTAGATCTTTTAACATAGACATTTGTAATGTTAACGATTTATTTGTGATCAGGCCGTTGAAAGTGCAAGAATTGTTGCGGCCTCAAAGCAATTTTGGGGTTACTGATATCCACCCTAACAAATTTGAGCTTGGTATGTTGTAAAATATCTAAAGATTTTTCTACTTAAAAATATGAATTCAAATAATAGTAAGATGAATAGTGGGTTTCGTACATTCCTTGGTTTCAACAATACAGAAATTTGGGGTGACAATTTATGAATTTGAAAGATTACATAAAACCGGTACAATAAGTGTTTTGCGAAGGCCGAAGGACTGAAAAATGAGGTTTCGGAAATTCCTGTAACATCATCTTTTACGTCTAAGTCCAAGTATGAATTGATCTCTGAATGTAATCAAATGTGTGCCACTCAAAACTATAGTAATCAATCATCTACTTCACCATCGAATAATGGGGTAAAAGGCTACTTTGAGATCTTCTCCTTCTCCTTCTCCTTCTCCTCAAAACTATAGTAATCAATCATCTGCTACACCATCGAATAACAGGGTAAAAGGCTACTTTCAGATCTTCTCCTTCTCCTTCTTCTCCTTCTCCTTATCATTATTATTATTATGTATACAAATATGGAGTTGAAATATAGACAAAAAATAATAAAATGTACAATTTAGAGAAGGATTTGATTTTATTAAAAAGGTAATAAAAATATAGTTTTAGAGAAGACTTTGGTTATTCGTAACCAAAGATAAATTTTAGAGAAAGTTTATAAAATTGTAACTAAATGATAGTTATAGAGAAGGTTTTCTATGAGTGTCATTAAAGTCTATACCTTTAGAGAAGCTTTTTAAATAGCTTCTCTAAAAGTATCTTTTAATTGTGCTTATAAACCGTCTCAAATGCTCGAAAAATGTCTCTAAATAAATATTTTTAGAGAAACTTTTGGAAAAAAGTCATTCACCCTTTAGAGAAGTTTTGAAAACGTATCTAAAACCCAAAAATACATCTCTAAAACTTAATTGAAATGTACCTTTTGAAATTGCTTCCAAAAACCTTTAACTATCTTTATATAAGGAAACTTTTTGACAAATTGGAAAACTTCTCTAAAGACTTTAGAGAAACTTTATAAACTTTTTACAAATTAAGAACCTTCTCTTAAGGTCATTTTTTTTTTGTAGTATAATGGTTTTTTCATTCAAAGAGTTCAAGGACTTGAGGCTATTTGGTTTAGATTGGACGATCGAAATTGGAATAAAAATGAAAATGACATGGAATGAGCATGGTAATGAATTTTCGTTCCCCACAATATAATCTGGAATAAAATTTTGGGATTCTAAAATAATTAACCCAATATATTATATAAAATCAAATAGATTTTTTTTCATTTCATTCTTATTTAAAATGATGTAGTTCGTTGAGTTTTTTTTGAACTTTTTCCATATAATATTAATTTATATTCTATTTTTATTTTAAAATGTTAGAACAATCTGAAAATACTAAACAACCCTTTACTTTAAGACCTCCAACTTCCGGTCTCCCGTGAACATTAATCCGGCAGGTACCAAGTAATCATAAAGACACACAATGTGATACCCATTGTGATATACTGTGATACCATTGTGATACCAACTCAAACCTTAAAAATAAATATACACAATGTGATACCCAATGTAATATACAATGTGATACTCATTGTGATATATTGTGATACCGATTTTACCGGAAGCCGAAGATTGGAGAGAGGAGAGAGGAGTTTTTTAAAAATACCTAATATGTCCTCTAATTATAATTTTAACTCAAACTACCATAATTATTAATTTTCTAATTCATCCGTTGATTTGTGGTTGAGATTGGACCTCACAATTACCACAAATTATTCAGTTCTCGTTTGATTAGGTCATATATATATATATATATATATTTTTTTTTTTTTTTTGATTAACCTAAAAGATATTCAATTTATTATGCGAGCTAACTAATTTAAAGACGAGCACTGCTTTGCAGATGTATTTGAACATGGTAATTTGCTGGAATTCAGAATATGAAATTATAATGAGTAAATTCTAGTATTCCGCATATCAAAGACGTGCAGGGGTGTCTTTTGGCTCTATTGGGAGCTTCCAATTCTGACAAGGCAGAATTCTTCCCCTTGTTTCCAGTTTGTTGTTACATCATAATCCATATCTCTTTTAGAAGTCGGCAGGACTACGGATGTATTATCAATGCGTTGGATTGTGAAATGCCATATTCCAAACTAGTTACTATATCTGATCATGAGCCCTGAAGTTCAACACGTAATCACCGACCACCTTCATTCATCCAATCACAAGAAGCGGTGCTTCAGCATTACAGTCGATCTCCATCTCCTGCTGCTCTGAACGGACTGAAAATCTTAGCCCTCATCTTCATCATTCATGACGTGTGTGTGTATATATAGAGAGAGAGAGTGTACGACTCTGCAACTTGATTTGAGCTCATCTTCAACCAACAGACAAAAGAGAACAATGGTTTCACTTCTCATAACACTATCAGCTATTCTAGTGTTCTTCCTCTTCGTTCTTTACAAATTTAGATGCTTTCTAACGAAGACCACCCTCCCTCTACCACCGGGACCTCCCGGACTTCCTATAATTGGAAACCTGCATCAGCTTGACACCTCTAATCTCTCAGACCACCTATGGCGTCTCTCAAAATGTTATGGACCCTTGATGTCCCTGCGCCTTGGTCGCATCCAAACCCTCGTTGTTTCTTCTGCTGAAATGGCCAAAGAGATCTTGAAAACTAATGATTTGGTCTTCTGCGCGAGGCCTGTGTTAACAGGCCAACAGAAGTTCTCTTACAACTGTAAAGACATAGCTTTCTCACCATATAATGAGCACTGGAGACAGATGAGAAAGATTTGCACCCTTCATCTCTTTTCATCCAAGCAAGTGAACTCGTTTCGTTTCGTTCGCGAAGAAGAAGTCTTTGACATGATTGATACCATAAAATCTCGAGCTGCGAACAAACAAGTGGTGAATTTGAGTGAAACTATGATGATTCTCACGAGTAACATGATTTCTAGGGTGGCTTTTGGAAAGAGACCGTACGCATTTGATGGTGAACGGAAAGAAGTTAGGCGATTTCATCAGCTGCTCTTAGAGAGTCAAGCTATGTTTGCCACCTTCTATTACAGAGATCATTTTCCTTTGATGGGGTGGGCGCTGGATAAACTCAATGGAAGCATTGCTCGATTGGAAAAGAATTTTAACGAACTGGATGACTTCTATCAAGAACTCATGGACGAGCATCTAAAACGAAACAGGACGAACAAAATGAAAGACGATATGGTTGATATTTTGCTTCGGCTCAAGCAAGAGTCTGAACCCTCCTTTGAACTCACTTTCGATCACATCAAAGCTGTGCTCATGGTCGGTACATATTTCACTCACAAATTTTGAGTTTATTAATCTTTAATCACTACTATTATGCCATAAACGTACATGTTTGAATTTTTCAGAATATATTGTTCGGTGGTACAGATACAAGTGCTGCAACAGTGGTCTGGGCAATGACTTTACTCATCAAGAACCATGAATCTTTGAAGAAAGTTCAACAAGAAGTGAGAAATGTGGTCGGCAAAAAAGGCAAAGTACAGGAAGATGATCTTCAAAAGCTCTACTATCTGAAAGCAGTAATCAAAGAAACACTTAGATTATTCCCAGTTGCACCCCTCTTAGTCCCACGAGAATCAAGAGATCGATGCGTTCTAGATGGATACGAGATTCCAMARGGAACTCTGGTGTAYGTGAATGCATGGGCARTAGGGAGAGAYCCTAAWYGTTGGGAAAACCCTGAAGAGTTCAAGCCMGAGAGGTTTATGGGCAGTARTATTGATTACAAAGGAACTGATTTTGAGTTGATCCCATTTGGGTCTGGTCGAAGAGTGTGCCCGGGGATGTCACTAGGAGTTGCGACGGTGGAGTTAGCCCTCTCGAATCTCGTTTACGCATTTGACTGGGAATTGCCTGATGGAGAGAAGGATATCGATACTTTGGCAGCTCTGGGGATCGTTTCTCACAAGAAGAATGCGCTTCGGCTCGTGGCTAGAGTTTATGATTATGGCTGCAAGAGTTGACGATTAGGTTAGTCTGAGCCACACACCTCTTTGTAGCACCGAGTTAGCGTAGCTTATAAATAGCAAGGTGGTATTTATGTGTAATCTTCAAGTGATTGTTAGCATATATCAAAACAGATTACATGTTGGCGTGAGCTCTCATCAATCAAGATAAATGGAAGGCTCTAATTGTGCAAGGTCAAGTAAACAAAGAAGGTAGAATAATTATAGCGAAGGGTGTGTACACCAAGTATTTTCTTTGTTTAGTTTCCTTTGTAACATCACTACCTCAAAATACCACTTAGGCAACAAATGAAAAATGTTGCCTAAGAGGGGTTTATATGTTGCGTAAGGCTTAGGCAACAAACTCGTGTTGCCTAAGCAGTGTTGCCTTCTCAATGTTGCATAAGAACCAAGGCAACATATGCAAACAGAATATGTTGCCTAAGCGGCCTTCTTAGGCAACACGCAAAAGGTTATGTTGCCTAAGTAAAAAACATATGTTGCATAAGGTATCAGCTTAGACAACATACTCTATCTTCATATGTTGCCTTAGATATCAGCTTAGACAACATACTCTATTTAAATATGTTGCCTTAGATATGAGCTTAGACAACATACTCTATTTAGATATGTTGCCTTTAAACTGTAATTAACATAATATAATATTTCTTTTAGACAACATTTATATTATTAATTATTGCCTAAGATTTTTGTGTACCATGATGCGGTTTTTTTCTTGCACACTTTCTACAATGAATCTCAAACAAGCAAACAAACAAYCAAATATTTTATACAAACAACCAAATGTTTTATACAAACAACTTTTATAACGAAACAATATTAATAAGTTCAATAATTGAAAGATAAATTTTTTCCTAAATAAGTCTAAGAGTAGGCAACAAGTTCAATAACACAAAATTAAAAACTTAACCTAAAGCGTGARAGGTCGGGGTTGTTATGTTAGAGTTTGAATCACTAGCACCCAACATAGTCATCAATGATTGTATCATCTTTCTTTGTTCGGACGCTTCCTTTTTTGCCTCATGTTGTCCCCATTTAAGCAAGYGAATCTCCTCGTCGTATCGGCAAGTTGTTGCCGTAAATCTTCCTCGTCAACTGCATATACCGGCTTAGAGAATCCCTTCGCCGGTCCTCTCATCCTCGCAAGTCGACTGCCAAGCCACCCATACTCAACTCAAACTTCTTGTGGTTGAGATCCAACCTCACCATTCCCTCACACTRCAATAAGACAACAATTTATTTGCAATCCCATTATTTATCAATTTAGTTGCACTTATAGCACCTAGCTATATATCGTTCCTCTCTCTTTGAACACGACAACAAACAGTCCCAGATTTCTAGATTAACAGGATTATGGTCTGATCAAAATCTGAAAACACAAGACTGTTGTCAAAACTTTGAATACTTCTGCACTATTAATCWTGGATAAACATCATTTGTGGATAATTCAAACTCTATCCATTGAAGTCTTGAGTTTGCTGTCCTAACTCGATATGCTAGATCTGAAACCAAAATTGGTTTGTACTACTAAAACACAAACAAATTAATAGCAATATTAGGCTGTTTGTCGTCGATGCCCTAGCTTACGAATGAAAGTGAAAAGGAACAAGCAATCCACAATCAAATGAAGAAACAAGAGGGGGAAGTATATTAACATATATCATCATACATGTTACCAACAACAAAATGTTCTGGAAGTACCTTCAAAAACCCATTCTGGAAGTACCTTCAAAAACCCAAATACAATCGCAAAATAGGAGACAAAACTGAAACCGAAATTAGCAAAATAGAAACAGTGGGTAAAACCTGYTGGAGAAGCGAAACAAGATGAAACGATGGTGTACCTGGAGAAGCGATGGAACGGGTGGTTCTCGATAGAGAGATCGATGAACCTGGAGAAGCGATGGAGCGGGTGGTTATCGATAGAGAGATCGATGAAACTGGAGAAGCGATGGTGTACGGTTTGAAGGAAGAAGACGACGGCTGGTGGTTCTCGTGGGTTWTAGTATTAAGGTTGAAGGAGGAAGACGACGGCTGGAGCAGCTAGATTGAAGGAGGAGGCGATGAATAGGGTTTAATATGAAAGTGTTTACTTTTTTAACCACATAATTAAAAAAGAGAAGAAAATAAAAAGGGTGGCAAATTTAAAAAATTTAGAATTTAACTTCAAATTTTAAAAAAATTAGAATTAAAAGGAGGCGGTAAATCTAACTTCAAATTTTAAAAAATTTAGAATTAAAAAAGGGTGGCAAATTTAACTTCAAATTTTAATWTTTTAGAATTTTTACAACTTCAAATTTAAAACTCTAGATTTTTGAATCAAAATTTTATTATTTTTACTAATTAGTGTAACAAACTAACAAGTACCCGTTAAGAATGGTTATGACACATGTAAGGGGCCGTTTACGTAAACACTTACCCGGTAAGCACTTACCGGTAAAATTTATCATTATCGCTTACTTATCGGGTAAGATTTTATTCACTAAAACACATTGTATGCAACAATTTATCCCGGTAAGCGCTAACCATGGTAAGAGTTATCATCCTCACTTACCGGGTAAGACTCTCGATTATTGTCTTGCTCTTACCGGGTAAGATTTTTAGTCCTTTTCATATTCATCCGGTAAAGTAAAGTAACTTGGTAAGCGCTTACCCGGTATGACCCATTACGAATAGGAGTGACAATTCTTGACACGACACAAACGCGAGACAAAAATAAACGGGTTTGGACGGTAAATAAATTTAATCAAAATTTTAAATTAATTGCATCACACATACTAATATTTAATCAATAATCCGGGCCATGGCGATATTCATCACCATTAAGGCACAATACGGTCCATTAAAGTAAATACAGTCCATTAAAGCCCAATACGGTTCATTAAGGCCCAATACGGTCCATTAATGTCCAATACGGTTCATTAAGGCCCAATACAGTCCATTAAAGCAAATACGGTCCATTAATGTCCAATACGGTTCATTAAGGCCCAATACAGTCCATTAAAGCAAATACGGTCCATTAAAGCAAATACGGTCCATTAATGTCCAATACGGTTCATTAAGGCCCAATACAGTCCATTAAAGCAAATACGGTCCATTAAAGGCCCAATACAGTCCATTNAGTCCATTAAAGCAAATACGGTCCATTAAAGGCCCAATACAGTCCATTGAAGCAAATACGGTCCATTAAAGGCCCAATACGGTCCATTAAAGCAAATACAGTCCATTAAAACAAATACGGTCCATTAAAGCAAATACGTTCCATTAATGTCCAATACGATCCATTATGGCCCAATATGGTCCATTAAAGCAAATACGGTTCATTAAGGCCCAATACGGTCCATTAATGTCCTATACGATCTATTATGGCCCAATACGGTCCATTAAAGCAAATACGGTCCATTAATGTCCAATACGATCCATTAAGTCCCAATTCGGTCCATTAAAGCCCAATACGGTTCATTAAGGCCCAATCTTATCCATTAATGTCCAATACGATCCATTAAAGCAAATACGGTCCATTAATGTCCAATACGATCCATTAAAGTCCAATACGGTCCATTAATGTCCAATACGATCCATTAAAGTCCAATACGGTCCATTAATGTCCAATACGATTCATTAAAGTCCAATACGGTCCATTAATGTCCAATACGATCCATTAAAGTCCAATACGGTCCATTAATGTCCAATACGGTCCGTTAAAGCCCAATACGGTTCATTAAGGCCCAATACGGTTCACTAAAGCCCAATATGTTTCACTAAAGCCCAATACGTTTCATTAAAACCGAATAGGGTTAATGAAAGCTCAATATGGTTCATTAAAGACCAATACGATCCATTAAAGCCCAATGCGTTACACTAAAGCCCAATCGATCCATTAAAGCACAAAACGTTCYACTAAAGCCCAATACGTATCACCAAAGTCCAATACAATCCATTAGGGCCCAATATGGTTCATGAAAGCTCAATACGGTTCATTAAAGACCAATACGATCCATTAAAGCCCAATACGTTCCACCAAAGCCCTATACATTCCATTAAAACCCAATACGTTCTATTAAAGTCCAAACGTTCCATTAAAGTCCAATGTGTTCCATTCAAGACCAATACGATTCATTAATTAAGCCCAACATTCGTTAAAATCCAATACGTTCCACACAAAAGGTTACATTGCCTAAGTAAATGTGATGGATTTATCGTACAATGTCAGTTGTCTACCTTAAAACTTATGTCAATCTTAAAATCTTCAACTATCGGGAGTTATTATGTTTTTAAGCTTAGGCAACATAGAAACAATAGTATATGTTGCCTTAGTAAATTATGATAAATCTTTTGTACAATGCCAGTTGTCACCTTGGAAGTATCAATTTGTTTACCTTAAGCAACATAGAAACAAGAATACATGTTGCCTAAGTAAATTGGGTTGAATTTATAATTCTTACCTTAGGCAACATATAAATAGGAATATGTGTTGCCTAAGTAAACTTTGTTGGATTTATGTTTTTTACGTTATGCAACATAGTATAAGAATATATGTTGACCAAGTAAATTTTGACGGATTTCAAAAAAAATATAAGTGTCCAACATTGAACTAAGGCAACGTAGGCTAATATGTTGCCTAGGATACAAGCAAGCAACATAGAATTATTTATATGTTGCGTAAGGTCACACTTAGGCAACATAGAACCATATGTTGCATTAGAGGAAACTTAGGCAACATATAATAGCCTTTGTTGTCTTAGTGTATCTTAAGCAACATAGGCAGTTTACATTTGTTGTCTAAGACAACATTTGGTGTAGTGCATATACGTATGTAATATCATAAGGAGAAATAAACAATAAAATTTCATAAGCAAATATTTTTTTTATTAACTTGGATATCCAACCCGCTATGCGAGCTGACTAATCCCAGAATGACCACCTGCTTTGCACGTAGCCCGGAGTCACCGTATTTGAACTTCCGTGACCACAAAGAGATTTTTTTTTCATCCTTGGATTTGAACTTAGGACCTCCTAGCATTTTGACCTTTGGACCAAGCTCAAACCAATCTGGCACCACTTTTGTGGTTCATAAACAAATATTTTCTTTGTTTTGCACAAACAATATCCTTCTTCCTTATTATAATCATCCATTCATTGTCTTATCATGAGAATTCTTCAAGCAACACATCTAATGTTGGAAATGTTAGTGAGAGGTTGGAACTTCTTCTTCCATCCCACATTGGTAGATAGAAGATTGTTAGAGAGCCTTATAAGGATTTTCTCGTAATTAGGACTTTAATTAATTGGTAGACTCATGGTTGGGGTCATGAGTGGAAGACATAACACACACGCATGTACGTGGCAGTTGCCGAGGCCTTGTGTGCGGTATTTGCGAAAGTGGCACGAGGAGGTACACTTTGCATTGGAGCAGAAGGAGCCTCACCCTGACTAGCGGTGGCAAAAAATGATCCAACCCAGAATTAGCAGGTTGAGTTGAGATTTTCAACCCATTTAAATAAATGGGCCAACCCGCCCAACCCATTTAATAAATGAGTTGGGTTGGGTTGAATTTTTCAACCCGTTTTTAACCCTTTTAAAATATTATATAATTTTACTTTATTTTATTTTTAATATTATATCTAGTATTCTAATTTTTAATTTTGTTTTATTCTTAATTAAAAATCTTACCATCGTGAGATAAAACTCCAAATTCCAATCGCCTCCATTACTCTTAATCATCAAAAAACCTTAAGAAAACCGTTTAGTCCATTATTCCATTATCGCCTCCAAATTCCAATTCAATTTATTTTGAACAATATATTTTTTATGGTTGTGTTTTATTCAAACTTTTAACAATTGTGTTTGTGTTTTATTTGAAAAAAGAAAATTGTCTACTCTTTTTTTATTTAAAATTTTAACATTAAATGGGTCAACCAAATTCAACTCATTTATGTTAAGAAAATCGTAAACATGTCAACCCATTTAGGTAACATGTTAGGTTGAGTTAAAAAATCTCAACCCATTTAACTAAATGGGATGAGTTAGGTTGAGATTTTCAACCTGTTTAATAAATGGGTTGAACTCGAACCCAACCTGACCCATTTTCACCTCTAGCCTCGACCTCTCAAGTATTTTTTTGATACAAATTATAGAGAGATAGATAGCTAACTGTCGAATTGGGTTTAAACAAAATAAAATCGGTTTTTCAAACTGATTTAAACACGTTTTTTTGGAGATATTTGTTGTTAGAGGATTATCCTCCAACTAACCCATGATAATCCGATTTTTAGGGGATAAAAAATCGTGGGTTTAGGGGGTTTTAACCCGTATAAATACTGGGTTGAAACCACCCCTAAAACACACCGAAAACCAACAATTGCTTCCTCTTTTTTCTCGAATTTTCTACTTCAAGTAAGTTCTTCTACCAACATTCTGCATCTGCTTTGTTTTGAGTTTGTTATGAAAGCTGTTGATAAATGAAACATGATACTGCATCAAATCTTGGGGCCTTGTGACTAGTAGACTCACAGCATACAAGAGTGGTCATATAAAACCTTTAAGAATAGGTTTTACATGCAGATTCCGAATCAACGTCGATTTAAACAGGTTGGTTTTAATTTTTTGTGTATGCATTTTTTTCTATTTATTAAGTGAACAACTCGGTCCACTTTGCACCGGAGCAGAAGGAGCTTCACCCCTAGCTCTCGAGTACCTTTTTGATACAAATTATAAAGAGATGGATAGATAATTGTCGGATTGGGTTTAAACAGAATAAAATCGGGTTTTCAAACTGATTTACACACATTTTTTTGGAGATATTTGTTGTTGGAGGATTATCTTCCAACTAACCTATGATAATCCGATTTTTAGGGGATAAAAAAATCGTGGGTTTAGGGGGTTTTAACCAGTATAAATACTGGGTTGAAATAACTCCTAAAACACACTGAAAACCATCGACTGCTTCCTCTCTCTCTCTCTCTCTCGCATTTTCTGCTTCAAGTAAGTTCTTCTACCAACATTCTGTATTTGCTTCGTTTTGAGTTCGTTATCAAAGCTGTTGATA